TCAGAAAAACACGAACGAATATGTGTAAAGCTTAAAATACCAGGAAAGAAAACTATATCTAGTTTTCAAAATTAAGATGACAAAATAATGTACATTTAAAAAAAAAGAATTTACACTACATTTTCTGCAAATATAAGCTTTACACACGGTAGATTGTTACAGTCAAAATGTTAAAGCAATTATGTGTCATTAGGATGTAGGTTAACATTAAATAAAAGTGGAAAGGTAGAAATCCAAGAAACCTTCAAAAAATCCAATAACGTTCATTGAAGTGACAGAGGGGTCAGTCACTAATGCTACGCAATGAGCAGTCTCTAAGCTAAGTGCAAAAAGTTTAAGACCATTGGTCACCCACAGAGGATTTTTTAAAAAAATCATCCAGACGACACCATTAGTAAAATCAGCATGAATACTAAGGAGAAAGCTTTCAATTGATCTCCAGTGGGAGCCATTAAAAACACTCACACACACACACACACACACACACACACACACACACACACACACACACACACACACACACATATACTAACCCCCCACACCCACACACTCCTCCCACATGTCTATCACTTCTTATTTTTCTCCTTTATCGCCTACACCTTCTCCAGTTGCTAGCGAGTTTTACACTGTTTAACACTTACATCTCTCCAGACCGCCCTTTTGTTGAACGGGAGAAAGACATTTCTTTTCGTTTTTTTTTTTTTTTGTTAGCTTTTTTTAGACTATGGTGTGACCAGTATTTCTGGACTCCATGTAGACAGGGTGAGATCTAATGGTTTTCTTCGAAATCTGTTAATGTCTTTCCGGCCTGAAGGATGTTATTTTGCGTGTCGTATTCGTGATTTCTTTGCCGAGGTTGTGTTTCATTTATAATACGAGTGAATATGTGTAAGTGTCTCTCGCTTTGTGTCGCATCACTTCAGGGCGTGTGCAATTATGGTTCTCCACAGTATCCTGTTTTTGTTGCTCTCAGCTCAACTTGCCACTCTAAAACCTAAGTAATTCTTCTCTTCCGACCATCTCCTCTTTCCCGGAACTCTGTCTGCATTATTTTATCTGTGAGTCTTAAACTCTCCAGGAATTCTTTCCTTGTTATTTCTCACTAAAATCTCAACTAAATTTGACACTAGTATTTGAAAACTAAAAATAAATTTCGACGTGCCATATCGACGTGTCATATCCATTCAGTAGGAGGAACGGTGGAGTAATGGATACGATTCGGAGATCCGTGTTCGAATTCCAGTCGGATCCATTACATTTCACTTACTTCATTATGAAGAGGATTCCTACCATTCCTTTGGGAAATGTATGAATCCACTTCTCCCCCCCCCCCAGCTATGGGTAAATAGCAGGAAAGACTGGGTTATGTAGCGTTTGGAAGTAAGGAATTCTGAATTCAGAGCCATGGTGTAGCGCATACTATAAAGTAAAAAAAAAAATTCAGAATCGGAGACCCTAAGTTGGTTGTTGAATTCACCCTCGTTCTGGCAGCTCCTGTGACGTCACTAGTGCCAAATTGTAATGGATTTTCTCTTCCTTTGGATTCATCTACCCGAGCTTGATCCTACCTTAAGTAGGCTCAAATTCATGGTCATTGATGACCGGCGGAAGCGTATTTATCCGTTCAGTTTGTCGGCGATCATGTCTCCCAGGTTCCTATCTGTTGTAGTTCTAGTCTGTTGTAGTTCCTTTGATATTTTTCCTAGCACTCCCGCCTTACATTAATATAGGTTAGTCGGTTAGGTGGATCGCTGCCCCGCGCCGATATGTTATGTCAGTGTCAAATACCTCAAGCCCATTGTGATTTTCCAAGCGTTGCTCAGATGTGGCAGAAGGCCGAAAGTATGGGGCACCCAGTTGGGGTCGAACTCACTACTCAGTTGTAATTGATCTAGCGAAACAAGCTTGCTAACCATTAGTACCACCTCGAGGTATGCCTCCAAGCCCATTGTGTTTATAAGTGTTTGTTTTTGTCAAGACTTAGTTGGTTATCCGCTGCAACGATGTTACTCTCTGCATATGGTAAGCGGAGGAATAGAAGTCGGAAATAGGCCTGTGGAATGTAAAGCGGGGACTTGTTGTCACTTGAAATCTAGTGAGAACTACTATATAGTCAAGGGAATAGAAATAATAATTATAATGTTAATGATAAGTAGAAACAATAAGGCGCGTGGTGAAAAGATTCTATTACATTCATCCCAAGTGTAATTTGCAAATGCGTTTTGTCTAATCGAACATCAATTTAATGCCTGTCAAAGAAAAGCAAGCGTTCAATCCAATAAGCATCCTTTCACTTGACAGTGTTTCGCGGATATGCGACCGCCCAGTAAAATGAAAAAAAAAATAATAAATAAAATAAAATAACAGAAAATGGTTTGCATCGGAAGGATCGATTTTACTCATGAATAATTGATTTTTTTTTCTTTCTTTTTCTTTACTTCTTCGTGTAATTTATAGGCTATTCATTTCTTTAACTCTCTCGGTGTCCACTGCCCACCTCACAACACCGGCGACGCCGTATCGTCCACTTTTGTCTTGTCCACGCCTGGCGTATTCCTTCCCTGTCCCTATACACCCACCCCGACTTTTACACAATTACTTATCACACTCCTACTCCACTTCTTATCTGTACTTACCTTTTATTCCCCCCTCTTATTTACATACACATACTCTTCCTATCACTCTTAAGATCACCTTGTTGATCATCATTGCCACAAATATCTTTCTTTACGTTCTCTGCTATCGTCTTTTCTCTCGCCTTTATTTTATTTCTACGTTTCTTTTTTTTACAGTTCTTCTTCTTCTACTTCCACTACTAATACTACTTCCACTACTACTACTACTACTACTACTACTAATAATAATAATAATAATAATAATAATTTGTTCTTCATTTTCCCTCCCTGTCTTTTTCGTACCAGTGTTCTTTCTTTATATTATTTCTTAGTTTCCATTTACTATGTCCCTTTCAGCCCTTCTTCTTCTTCTTCTTCTTCTTCTTCTTCTTCTTCTTCTTCTTCTTCTTCTTCTTCTTCTTCTTCTTCTTCTTCTTCTTCTTCTTCTTCTTCTTCTTCTTCTTCTTCTTCTTCTTCTTCTTCTTCTTCTTCTTCTTCTTCTTCTTCTTCTTCTTCTTCTTCTTCTTCTTCTTCTTCTTCTTCTTCTTCTTCTTCTTCTTCTTCTTCTTCTTCTTCTTCTTCTTCTTCTTCTTCTTCTTCTTCTTCTTCTTCTTCTTCTTCTTCTTCTTCTTCTTCTTCTTCTTCTTCTTCTTCTTCTTCTTCTTCTTCTTCTTCTTCTTCTTCTTCTTCTTCTTCTTCTTCTTCTTCTTCTTCTTCTTCTTCTTCTTCTTCTTCTTCTTCTTCTTCTTCTTCTTCTTCTTCTTCTTCTTCTTCTTCTTCTTCTTCTTCTTCTTCTTCTTCTTCTTCTTCTTCTTCTTCTTCTTCTTCTTCTTCTTCTTCTTCTTCTTCTTCTTCTTCTTCTTCTTCTTCTTCTTCTTCTTCTTCTTCTTCTTCTTCTTCTTCTTCTTCTTCTTCTTCTTCTTCTTCTTCTTCTTCTTCTTCTTCTTCTTCTTCTTCTTCTTCTTCTTCTTCTTCTTCTTCTTCTTCTTCTTCTTCTTCTTCTTCTTCTTCTTCTTCTTCTTCTTCTTCTTCTTCTTCTTCTTCTTCTTCTTCTTCTTCTTCTTCTTCTTCTTCTTCTTCTTCTTCTTCTTCTTCTTCTTCTTCTTCTTCTTCTTCTTCTTCTTCTTCTTCTTCTTCTTCTTTCTTCTTCTTCTTCTTCTTCTTCTTCTTCTTCTTCTTCTTCTTCTTCTTCTTCTTCTTCTTCTTCTTCTTCTTCTTCTTCTTCTTCTTCTTCTTCTTCTTCTTCTTCTTCTTCTTCTTCTTCTTCTTCTTCTTCTTCTTCTTCTTCTTCTTCTTCTTCTTCTTCTTCTTCTTCTTCTTCTTCTTCTTCTTCTTCTTCTTCTTCTTTCTTCTTCTTCTTCTTCTTCTTCTTCTTCTTCTTCTTCTTCTTCTTCTTCTTCTTCTTCTTCTTCTTCTTCTTCTTCTTCTTCTTCTTCTTCTTCTTCTTCTTCTTCTTCTTCTTCTTCTTCTTCTTCTTCTCATTTGTCCCTCATTTTACCTTCGCAGCTATATTTTTCTTACCATCATGTTTTCTTTATATTTTGCTTACATCCCTTGTCCTTCCTTCCTTCCTTCCTTCCTTCCTTCCTCTTACTTCTTCCTTTTTCTTCTTCTCTTCATTTGTACTTGATTTTACCTTCCCATCTATAATTTCCTCCCATCATGGTTTCTTTATATTTTACTTTCTTTCTTCTTTATTCCTTTCATTCTTCATTTTCTTTCTCACTTCACTTCTTCTTCTTCTTCTTCTTCTTTTGTTTCCACTCCTTCTTCCATTTATTCTCAAAAATCCTCTGTTAATTTATACTTCTAACCCACTTTTTTATCGTATTTTCTTTATTTTCCAATAAACTTTCATTTTCTAACCACCTCTCGTTTTCCACATCTCCTTTTTCTTGTTGGTTGTTTCAATCACGTCCACCCATTTCTTTTAAACATCTCTGTAATCACTTGTACTCATCATTTCATCGATTTTTAATTCCTGGTTTCCTTTTGTACGACGTAACTTTCTTCTTTTTCAGTCATTTCATTCATATAATCATATGCAAATCGTATACACAGATTTTTCTATTTCAAAGCTAGGATGGCTTATCAATTTGACCAACTCTTGAGATATTGTAGCTTTTCAGCATTTAAAGAATTATATGACTGGGTAATTAGGCAACAAAATATTATCTTTTACTTATTGTAAATAATACCATTCCTAATTAATGCCAAAAAATACCAACTGGGACTAAAATTTGTTAATTACATGTTTGTTGTATTAATGTAAGACTAATACTATAAGGGCAACTACAGGATTTAAACAAATACCATTCGCTCTCAGAAAATCGACATATAATAAAAATGTTTGATAAATGTTTGGCCTAATTAAAATGTGACGGACTACGGAATTGGTAGCTGTAAAGATGTGTTGGGAGATACAGTTGTAACCGCCCCTTGGCGCTGGATCGGCCTTCCGGGAACTAGACCACGAAGGTCCCTCGTCCTGGAACGAATTCTTTGTCGACAGCGACGAGGCAGGTAACTAGAAGCCGGTTTCTGAGTCGACTCCACCCACAGTGAACTCCATTCCCACGCTGTGAATTTGATCTCAAGGAAGCCAGGTGGGTTTTCGCTTGGTGTCTCTCCGCCAAGTCGAACCAATCCAGACGCGGACGCACAATTGGGTAAATGAAACGGCACCAAATATAAACAGAACAACGTCTGAGTACGTTGTAGAAAAGAAAGTCTTTATATACAGAAGAATTCAGAGTACAATCACCAATTGTCTTTTTCCAAACCCCTGTTCCTAACAAGCTGACCATGGAACGGAAGTCTCGACTAATTTCCTTAAGGGGTGATTTTCAAGCTTTTTAGTTGGCGTTATTTCTTCACTCCGGTCGGAATTCTTGATTGGTGTTAATTCTAAGTGTCTTTGTTTTTCTTCACACCGAAGCCTCACAGAAACTGACGAAGACTGTCTCTGATTGTTGCGGAGGTTGGCGGGCGGAGGTGTTGGTACTTCAAGTCTCACTCCTCGGCTAACTGCAACTGCACTCCACTGGTCGCTACCCCCTTGGGGCTCTGTATTTATGCTTGTCCATCCTTTACTGGGATGGGGACGACGGTCACTGGGGTGTCTATGCGAACCTCATCTCAGACCCTTGTTGGCCAATGAAATTACGGCTTTATTTCTTTCTTTCTTCTTCCCTCGTAACACAGCCAATGAGATAGCATTATTTCTATGACATCATTCTTTTCGTCTTTTTCCCTCGTGACACAGCTAATGGGATAGTGTCGTCTTCGTGACGTCACTCCTTTTCTCGGCCCTTTCTTTCTTTCCAAAATACCAAATTAGTTTCCCAGGAAAATTCAGTTTACATTTTTTTCATATTTCACCAATTAGCATAACCTTTGAACCTGCCATAGATAACCGAATAAGCAATTTCGTTAGGACACACTTTATAAATGCATTTTGCCTTTGTTCAAATTTAGAATTTCCAAACTACCTGGCCTGTTTAAATCCTGTTAACAAAATTCACTTCCAACTCATCCTGTTGGGGTCAGAGGGCATCTATTGTTCTGTGTTGACACATTTTTTTGGTTTACAATCCACAGCTAGAAAATGCTTTCTCCTTGATTAAACAGTCCTGTCGTCAACAGTTGATTGATCCCCACAACCTCATCCGATATGACTGTTTTATTTTGAGAATACCATGACTCTTGTGATAATTGTACCTAATAAAAACTAATATCGTCTTTTTTTTTCTCTGTTCATATTGGAAACAGAATAGAACATCACCTAATATAAATTTCTTCCGTTCGGTCATGCTAAATATTGTTACACAGTTCTGTTCGATAAAAGTGCCTCACCTGATTTTTTTTACTAAATGGTCTCTTCTCCGATGAAACGAAAGTTGGGCTAAATTTAAAGGATAAGCGATCTAAAATCCGAAGAAGAAGCTTTGAAAGCTCTTAGAATTTAGCAGTAAGTACTGTCAAGCATCTGTCCAGTATAAGTTCTGGGAAATTCTTTTCTTTTCATGGAAGTGGTTTCTTAAAACCTATTGAAAAAACCCTCAGGAGCGAGCAGTACAAGAGAAGTTAATCTTGTCTGCTCCCTTCTGCTGAAAGGGTGCAAATCGACCCCACCAAGCTCATTATTATGCAGGATAATGTTCCCTGTCACAAATCAAAATTGATGAAAGAATACTTTGATAAAAAGCAGGTGAGTGTTATAACATGGGCGCCCCAATCTCCTGACCTCAACCATATGGAAAACATATGGAGCATGTTGCTCAACTGCTTTTTCGAGAGTCTGTACTTTATAATGGTCCATAAATTTTCTATGTGGTTGAGGTCAGAAGATTGGGGCGCCCGTGAAGCGAGTCACTTTTATCAAACAGCCCTGTAAATAGGTACAGAATTGGTAAATGTAGAGACGTGTTGACAGTTTGGTTTGGTTTGGTTTGTTTTACGGCATATCAACCTCAATGTGTTATATAATGCCGACAAAATGTTTATTGCTGGCAATGTTTTTCTGCAAAAATCTTTTTCTGAGAATATTTTCCTTGAGAAAATCTATAACTGCCCATATTTTTTGCAAAGAACGTATAGCTGTTTGTATTGCTGGCATTTTTTTTTAAACTATTACTGATAATAATTTTTTCTGAAAAAATTATTGCTGGTTATAATTTTTTATTGCAAAGTATTTCTGGTATTAAAAACTATTTTTACACAATTTTGGGTGTTAACTATTTGCCCATAGCTTGGACTCTAACAGGTGCTACCATTCCGGGTCAGGGTGGACCTGGAAGCACCAGCAACTAAAAGGTAGTTCCACGCTCCTGAAAACCTCCTGATCAGAGGCCTTGCTGCATGATGTAGTTTATCGTCTTACCCAGGACGCGGATGCAAGTTATTGTTTTACCCAGGGCGGGTGTTGGCAGATAGATAGGTACAAAATTGGTAAATGTAGAGATCTGTTAGCATTTAGGTACAAAATTGATAAAGATGTGTTAGAAGATAGATAAAACAGTGATAGATATAGAAATGTACTGGCAGATAGATATATACAGAATTGATAGATATAGTGACACGTTAATAGATAGATATTTAGAGAATTGGTTATTTTAGAGATGTGTTGGTAGATTGATAGGTATAGAATTTGTTGATGTACTGCTGTTTTGCTAGATAGATCGGTAAAGAATTGGTAGATGTAGAGATGTGTTGATAGATAGGTAATATATTGATAAGTGTAGAGATGCATAGATAGTTACGGAGTTGGTATATGTAATTGTTAGTATGTATGTACAGAATTTTTAGATGGAGAGATGTATTAGTAGATAATTAGGTACAGAAGTTTTAGATGGAGAGATGTGTTAGTAGAGAGAGAGGTACAGAATTTTTAGATGGAGAGATGTTTTAGTAGATGGATAGGTAAAGAATTTTTAGATGGAGAGATTTTTAGTAGATAGATAGGTAGATAATATTTAGACGGAGTGATGTCCTAGTAGATTGATAGGTACATAATTCTTAGATGGTGAGATGTGTTAGTAGATAGATAGATACATAATATTTAGATGGAGTGATGTGCTAGTAGATTGATAGGTACATAATTTCTAGATGGAGAGATGTTTTAGTAGATAGATAGGTACAGTATTTCTAGATGTCGTGATGTGTTAGTATATAGATAGATACATAATATTTAGATGGAGTGATGTGTTAGTAGATAGATAGGTACATGATTTTTAGATTGAGTGATATGTTAGTACATAGATAGGCAAATAATATTTAGATGGAGAGATGTGTTAGTAGATAGATAGGTACATAATTTTTAGATGGAGAAATGTATTAGTAGATAGATAGGTACATAATTTTTAGATGGTGAGGTGTGTTGGCAGATAGATAGATACAGCATTGCTACATCTAGAGATCTGTTGACAGAGAGGTAGAAAACTGGCAGATGTAAAGTTGTATAGATAGATAGATAGATAGATAGATAGATAGATAGATAGATAGATAGGGAATTGGTAGATGTAGAGATGTGCTGGCAGATAATAGGTCCGGAGTTGGTAGATGTAGTAATGTGTCAGTAGATCGATAGGTACATAATTGGTTATTGTAAAGGTATATTGGTAGGTAGATAGGTACAGAATTGTTAGATATACGGATGTGTTGCTAGGTAGATACTTACAGTATTGTTACATGTACAGACGTGTTGGTAGATAGGTAAGGAATTGGTAGATGTGAACTGTTGGTAGATTGATATGTACTGAATCGGTTGATGTAGTGTGAATTAGTAGATAGGTAGGTACAGAATTGATAGATCTAGCAGATAGATACAAAATTGGTAGATGTAGATATGTGTTAGTAGATAGGTACAATATTGATAGATGTAGGGATGTGCTGACAGACAGATACAGAATTGGTAGATGTAAAGAAGTGGTAGTAGATAGATAGATAGGTAAAGAATTGTTAGATATAGTTATGAGTTCGTAGATAGTAAGGTTCAGAATTGGTAAAGGTAAAGATGTGTTGGCAGATAGATAGGTACAGAATTGGTACATGTACAGTAGTGGCGACCGGACGAAGATAATTCTAAACTGTGGAAAAGCAATAAGGAGCCCACCATCATTACCATGTATTAAGTTACCACATTTCGCGCCGGTGTAGCCACCACTCCCCTCCACCTCACTATTTTTATTCCTGGTGACATTTGAGGCGGAATAGTGTAATGGCTGGCCGGCATCTTTTGCATCATTGTCTCGTCCTAACTATCAGACTTTAAAGAGGTCAAACCTACATGGCAGCAGCTGGTTTAAATTTATAGCTGTCCTTATCCTAGACTGGCTGCCACCATAGCTATAGGCCCCAGTCTGGACTGCTTTTTACTCGTGTCTTGTCGGAAGAGATGGATCCATACCTTTAGCAAGGATATTAGCAAGTATTATTAGCAAATATGCAATGAACTCCACCCGATCCCTGAATCACAGATGCGATCCATTGCAACACCGTGTCTTCTAATGGGACACCACTCAAGTATAATTCCATAGAATGCAGAGCAATTTACAGATACTTGAAGTTTTTGAACTCTGTGAAAATCTGGAAAATGAGGATAGGGCAAACTCCTCTAGAAATGGCAACAATAATCCATTTCCGGTCTGAGACGACTCTGGTAAACTTACAGCATGCCAGGAGGATTCAGCTAATATATGGAATGTCATAACAACCTATTATACTTTCCTGACGCCGTAACTTCCCAAGTTGGCATCTACGCGGATGACACCACAATTTATTCCTGCCTCAAAAACAAATCTAGTCTCGCCTCCATTAGAATGTCTGACGCTCAACTTCTCGAGAGCAACTCTCTGCGGCTTCTCGGTCTCACGTTGACTGCTGACCTGAGATGGAATAAATACATCGAGTCAATTGCCTCGTCCACTGCGAGGAAAGTTGGCTCCCTGAGCCGTGCTAGGAAGTTTTTCTCCCCGGAGTCGATCCTCCAGATATACAAATCCACAATTCGTCCTTGCATGGAGTATTGCTGCCATATATGGTCTGGCGCCCCTTCTGTTTGCCTCGGGGTTCTTGATAGGCTCCAGAGGCGGATATGCAATATGGTTGGCCCTGCCCTGGCGTCTCGTCTACAGTCACTTTCTCACAGACGCACCGTCGCCTCCCTCTGTCTGTTCTACAAATACTTTCATGGAAATTGCTCCGAGGAGCTGCATTAGCTGATTCCCAGACGTCATGAGTTCCAGCGCCCTACGAGGCTGGCATCCCGCTCTCACCCCTTCACTGTCGAAACTCCTAAATGTAGCCGTCTCTTCTACTCCGATAGCTTCATGTCTCGCACCTCACGCCTGTGGAACTGCCTTCCTTATTACTGTTTCCCTGTGAGCTATAATCTCCAGCTATTCAAGTGTAATGTCAATCGACATCTCCAGTTGGCTTAATCTATCCACTACCCTCATCCTTTCTTCTATCACTCCTATCTGATCTTGCTATTTTCTGTAAACCCTTGAGTCCTAGTGGCTTCCCGCCTTGCTTGGGGTGAAATGCTTAAAAAAAAGATCCTTTAGCTATGGATCGTAAGCATGAGTGCAACTCAGGGGGGGGTCTGCTGTGAACTTGGATCCGAATAGATGTTAAAGAAAGAAACATCGTTGAGAATACAATCATTCTTCATGACTGGAGAAAATTTGGGGGTAATTCCGATGATGATGAACCTTTAGTTTCTGATGTAATGAATTTTACAAGCCAGTTTTTCACTATTGACCTGTTAGACCTATATCAGGGGGAGATCTGCTCGCTAGCTCAGATAATCTAGATTTTTGGGATGCGCACACACATGTTATGGCGCTGTATAGCCATATACTAAGGATCTGAGAATCATCCTGGAGAGATCGTTGATATAAATCAGGAACAGTGAGGTGCTAAGGCAGAGCTCTGAGAGATGTCTACATTGATCTTTATAGACCTAACCTATATGAAGGACTTGGTAATTTCGAAGACATTTCTAAGGATGACATAGCAGGAGGCTTTGTGTAGCGCGCATCTATATCATGACTTGAAGTGGAGCAACATCATCGAATCAATCGTTGCATCTACGGCAAAGGAAGTGCCGTGCCAGGAATTTTTTTCTCGTCAGAATCCATCTAACAACATTTATAAATCTATCATACCTTCGTGCATTGAATATTGTTGCCGTATCTGGTTTGGTGCTCATGTCGAGGTTCTTGAGAAAATCTGAAGAATCTGTAATATAATTGATTCTGACCGGGTATCATGATTTCTGTCACTTTCTCACCGACTTGACGTGGATTCCCTCAATATTTCTCACAAATATTTTCATAGCAACACCTATGACGAACTTTTTTTCCATGATACCCCGAGCGTCCTGGTATGACGATAAACTACATCCACGTCCTGGGTAAGACGATAAACTACGTCCAATAGCAAGGCCTCTGATAATATCTTTTTTGAAAAAAAAAATAATGTTGCCAACTGTACGTTTTTGAAAAAAAATTATATTACCAGCTTTACGTTTTTTTTTTTAAAGTATAGTGTTGCCGACTATACGTTTTTGAAAAAAAAATAATATTACCAGCTATACGTTTTTGAAAAAAAAATATTACCAGCTATAAGTTTTTGAAAAAAAATTATTACCAGCTATAAGTTTTTGAAAAAATAATATTACAAGCTATACGTTTTTGAAAAAATAATATTACCAGCTTTACGTTTTTGAAGGGATGGTGTTGACAGCTGTACATTTTTGAGGAAAAATATAAACAGAAATAGATTTTTGACAAAACAAAAACATTACCAGGAAAAAAAAGTTGTTGGCATTAAATGACCCATTGAGGTTGATATGCTGTATAACAAAACAAACCAAACCAAAATTGATACCCCGACTGCATGAATTTAATCGTGCTAATAGATAAGCATCTAAGACCAACCATTCTACTGCTGAAATAAATAAAGGCAACCGCCAATTCTACCCCAACATTTTCTTTTCTCGCTCTTCCTTCCTGCGGAACTCCTCACCGTTTATTTGCTTTCCAGATAAATACAATCTTCAAAAATTTAAATGCAACGTCAATCACCATCTTCTATCTTCTCAAATCCCGTTCATATTTTGTCCTTAATCCTACCTATACTCAGTCTTTTCTCACAGTTTCACTCTCTGTAACCCCCCCGCGTATTTATCTTCCCCACGTTGCTTGGGGTGAAATGATTCAAAAAATTAACTGTCAAAGCCCTTTGAGGCAATGCTTCTAGCAATTGATAGATAAAAAGACACATAAACACATAATCCATATGAATCAAATTTCGACGGATTGAAAAAAAAAGAAAGTTAGGAGTTCGAATCACAGTCTTTCAGGTGGTATCACGACAGCATGGAAACAAAATTCTGAATTAAATGTGAGGGGTAATGTTTACAACGTATGAATTAAATGTGAGGGGGTAATGTTTACAACGTATGAATTAAATGTGAGGGGTAATGTTTACAACGTATGAAGATAAAATTCTATCTATAAGTTTTCATTTTCTAATCATTTTTTATCATTTCACCCAAAGCAAGTGGATAATAGGTGATAAAACGGCTTATTGAGTTCACAAGAATCTGAAAAAAAAATAAGACATTATTGAAGAGAGAGGAAAGAAAAAAAACGGATAATAAAGTGACAGAAGATGACGATTGACACATTGAATTTAAATTTTAAAAGATCAAAATTAGCTGGAAATCAAGAGTCTTGAAGAGAATTTCATTAGGAAGAAGAGCGAGTGAAGAAACTGTTAACATAGAACTTACGGTTATATTGGAATATACCTTCAATATCTGTCTATATTTCTGAGATGAGGTATTATGTACATTATTTACATTATTCGGACTATAACAATAACATTGGTTTATATACAATTCAAGAATACAATTGAGTTGGACTTTGATGAATAAATGAAAATAGATGTATTTGGTTGCGTGGAATATTATTGTGAATCTTTGAAAGTCTTTGCAATTGCTATCCATATTTTTTCATAAAATTAAACTAAGTGTTCAGTTACGTACGTTCAGTTGTTAATGTGTGGACGTAAGTTTGTTTGTATTATCGTCCAAAATTGGTAGGAGTTGCGCACGTTTAGTTGTGTGGGAATTGTATTGTTTGTTTACTAATACTTATTAAGTAGTGAGAAAAATGTCAATTTTTAAAGTATCGGAAGTGATGTTTAGATAGCGTTCCTGAGAGAGATAGAATCTGCTTGTGGATTGTTGAGTCAGAGATATCCTCATCATTGTCGCCATATTTATTACAACGTTTCGGCCGTTGTACGCTCCGGCTTTCTTCAGTTGGTTGGAATGTCGAACTGAACCCTTTACTTCGCTCACTGGGTTAGACTGTTCTAGTTCCACGTGCCATGTTTAATGGATGTCAGTTATCAGTTATCTCCCGTTAAGGACACATGGCACAGTGGATAAAGGCGTTGGTTAGATCTAATGACAGAACCCAAAAGAGTGTGAGTTCAATACCCGGTTATGGCAGTGGAGAACTTTCAGAGGGAAAATTTACAGGAGAAACTGAAGAAAGCCGGAGCGTACAACGTCCGAAACGTTGTAATAAATATGGCGACAAAAATGATGACAATAGTCCGAATAATGTAAATAATGTGGAATATAACTATTCTTTCCGCATTTTTATTCTCATTTGATGAAATTATTATTGTTAGCCTTCTTTTTCGTCAACTTCTTCTTCAACTTCTTCTACTTCTTCTTCTTCTTCTTCTTCTTCTTCTTCTTCTTATTATTATTATTATTATTATTATTATTCATCTGAACCAACAACTCTCAATCAGTAACGCATCGTTCTTCGCAAAACTGATAAATCTATTTGAAGTCATGTTAATATTTATGAAATGTATAAAAGCTTTTAGACATAGGCTATTTGATCTTATGATGCAAATATATGATCAAAACAAATAATGGCTGACTTTCGCGCACACACAACAACAAAATTAACCTTTTAAATCAACTGTATTGCACACTAATATTTTTGGAATCAGAGAAAGA